CTCTTCTGTAAAAACCAAACGAACCATATATTTTCTGAAAGCCCTCAATATACCCTATCTTATCACACTAAAGTGATTGTTATAATGTTGTTTTTCATAAAGAATTAGGTCTTTGAAGCTAAAAAGTATGGGTCTTTTTGAAAGGCCATTGCCGGACAACAAAAGAATTTACTGACAAATAAAAGGTTGTGTTTAAAAGAGCAAAAGTATGAGATTGTATTTATTTAAAAGTGTAAAAATTGTTTGTTAATAATCTTGCATTCAATTCTTCCTTTAAAGTCGGTTGTACGAAAAACGTGATGTGTCGATCATATAGTAAAATCAGTAAGTGTGAAATCCTGTCTGACTGATTATGATAAGTATTAATCGCGTTACAACGAATTCACGTGATATGCAGCATATGTGATTTTCCCTGATTTTCCAAATTACTATAATAACTATAGCAAAAATCCATTTTACTAAATAATGATTTTATATGAATAGTTTTTATGCATGACAATTCTTCAAAATCCAAATTTCTAGGGAAAAAAAAACAATAAAGAAAAATCCACATTATTATTAAAAAAACCAATTTACTAATAAATAATTATCTAAAATTCTCATCACATGATTAAATACTAATTAATCAAACAAATAAAATCCACTTTACTAAATAATGATTTTACGCAAATAGTGATAATTCTCCAAACCCAAATTAAAGAAAATAAAAATCATTCAAATAAAATATTCTTACTATTGTTTTAATCAAACATTTAGTATTTCTAAAATGTGGGTTTTTTAAAATTAATAATTCCTACACAATTAATAACAAATAAATAATTGCTTCTGATTTCACATAATTAATAACCAAATAAATAATTTTTGATATCATTGATAAAATGTCTCAATCTTCTTCTAAAAAATGGGTATATATCACTGCAGAGTAAAAACATGAAATTTGTTAATTAAAAAAAGCTAAACCTCAACCAAAAAATATTGAACTGGCAGATAAATATGGAATTAGTTCAGGCCAAGTTACTGATATATTGAGAACATCTGATAAATGGCTCAAAATTGATCCAAACTCTTATGAAGGAAAATTAAAAAACCACATGCTTCTCCTGTTGTAAATATTGAAGAGGCTTTAATTTTATGGATTGAGAAAGCAATTGAATGCAATTTAACTATTACAAGTTCTATCATTCAAGAAAAAGCTTTAAAATTTTCGGAATTATTGGGGAATAATAGCTTCAAAGCATCATCTGGTTGGCTTCATAATTTTAAGCAGAGATATTCAATTCAGGAATATAACAAACACAGAGAATCTCAAAGTGCACCCATTACACAAATTCCGATAATGAGAGAAGACTTAAAAAATATCCTTAAAGAGTATCATGCAGAAACTGGTCTTTTCTGGAAAATGGAATCATCTTGCGGATTATCTACAGGCCCTATCTCAGGTACCACAAGTATCCGCAGCAAACTAACGGTGCCGATTGTGGAATTTATGTAATCGCTTTTACACGGGCTTTGGCAAAAAGGTCTCGAAAAAGTAATTATAATTCTGGTTTGAAAGCAGAAGACCTAATTTTCACTATTGCCGAAGAAAGACAAAAATTAAAAGCACAAAACAAAATAAAGATAGAGTAACAATATTATTAACTTGTAATTCAACTGGTAGCCAAAAGTTAATGCCATCATTTATCCATAAATGTGAGAATCCCCGACCACTAAAAAATATTAACAAAAAGTCTTTACCAGTTGAATATTATTGGAATAGCAAAGCATGATGCAAGTCTCCATATGGAATGACTATTTAAAAAAATTAGATAATAAAATGAAGATTGCCAATAGAAACATATTATTGCTTGTTGACAATGCACCAACCCATAATTTATTGGATAATGTGCAGTTAACAAATGTAAATGTGCATTATTTGCCTCTAAACACAACCACATTTCTACAACCATGTGATGCTGGGATAATACATTCTTTTAAGGTTTGTTTGTAAATAAATATTTTGATATAAATTGATTAAAAAGTTATATTTTGACTTACCTTTATACCAATTTACAGGCTAATTATCGAAAATTATTATTGAAAAAAAAGATTAAAATTTATGACAAGAAACAAGAGGGTAAAAAACCCAAAGAATTTGATATTAAAAAAGCTATAAAATCTGTTGCAGAAGCTTGGGATAATGTTACCTCAACTACCATTAATAATTGCTGGAGGAAAACTGGCATTCTTCCATTGTCAGACAATGTAGCAGAAGAAGTTGAGGATGTAATTAATTTAGAAAGTGATATTGAAGATTTAATAAATAAATTTCCTTTCAGTTCACCATTGACTGCACAGGAATATGTATCAATTGATGATAAGTCAACTAATAGTGAAATGGTAACTGAGGAAGAGATTATTAACTCTCTTACACAAGTTGAAGAAGAGGAAGAAGTTACGGAACATGATACAAATATTCCCAATATCACAACAAAAGATGCAGTCAACGCTTTTGAAACTGTTTATAATTTTCTTGAACAGAACAATTTAGAAAAGATTATAATGAATTAAAAGCTTTTAAATCATTAAAAAGAAAAGTGACATTATATCATGTTAGAAACCAAAAACAAACATGTGTCACCAATTAATTTTGGGAGAGCGTATTTTAATTGATGATAACAAATTTTTATTAATTTATGTGGATCAGAATGAATAGGCTAATACTAACGAATTAGATTTATTAGCGAATAATTTTGTTTTAAGTGATTTGATAAAAATGATTTATTTAATTTTGTATTTAGTCGAAACTAGTTATTAACTTATTATTAAGTTAATTTGTTACAAAGTTATTTTTCAATTACAGCGAATTCTCATTCCTTATATACATG